CTTTCTTTATATGCTTTACAGGTCCTGAGTAGATGGCGAGAGCATTAGCCGTGGATAGTTTAGATCCCTTGAACAGTATAGTTATTGTTTTGGCTTGTGTGCCACAGATGTTGAACATACTAGTTGGATGGTTTTAGACTTTGCCTGTGCGTTCACGTTGGGGTGAACGTGGCATTACACTCCTTGGTTTTCCCTGTTTTATGTTAGACTTCCGCTGTGTTTATGTTTTATGTTATATGTTGTCTAGTTTGCATTGCATATTTAAGCATTAAATTGGCATGAAAATCGGGGGTGTTACACGCGGCCCATCAGGAGGGCCGCCGGCTAGAGCCATAGTGGCACGGGACTAGGCACGACCCTAGTAGAGAGTCGTTGCCTAGTCCTGGTGAAGTAACGGTGTGTGAGGGGTGGACCATGAGGAGTCCAGCCCCAAGCCCCTGACTTTGATTCTGAGAAGAATCGGTGTAGTGGCCGGGCCCTTGTGGCTCAGCTACGTGTCGTTTCGGACTGAGTGTTACGGGCACTTGTGGCTCGGCTCTTCGAGATCGTCTTGACGCACGTTTTGGCTTTGATTTCGTTGAATTTGGATTAAAAACGAGTATGTTATGAAGGATTTTTTTTTTGAAGAATTTCTACACAGAGTATATATTTGCTAAGTTATTGTGTATGAGAAATATTTGACTATGTGATCTGATGATATTTTTGTGTTGAGCAAAGAAGTATGATCATTTGAGAATAATGAAAGCATGACTAGTTTGAGATATTTGATCCATGAGAAATGAAGCATATGTTGTTGCTAGAATGTATAGAATTTGCTATGTTGCAAACCAAGCATGAAATTATATTCTTGAGTACTCCATGTTATTTTATACATGATTTAGAAGCATGTTATAGAGCATTTTGACATTTCACATGTGTCATATTTCAAAAATGCATAAGGGGCCAACGTTGTAACACCCTCGATTTTCATGCCATTTTAAAGCTTAATTACGCAAGATAAACTAACCATTAAAACATGAAACGTAAACACAGCGGAAGTCTAATATTAAAAACCGGGAAATAGGGAGTGTTATGCCACGTTCACACCGATGTGAACGCACAGGCAAGGTCAAAAACGAACATCTAATGTATGTCTAACAACAGCGGCGCACAGGCCAAAACACTAATAAAGTTGTCCAGGGGATCTAGTCTAACCATGTCTAACGCTCTCGTCGTCTACTCAGGACCTGTAAAGCACATAAAGAAATGGGACGACGCCCGGTCAGCGAATAATGCTGGTAACCCATCAATACGCGTTAAGTATCATACATAGATAGTATTATACAAAATCATTTTCGAAACGGAATACTGTATGTATCAGTTCAAAGCCATAGATAGAAGTCAATTGCAAAGACTCTATTTCACTCACAACAAGGACAAAGGGAAACAGCATCCCAAAACAACATCAAGACATGACAACAACAGCACAAGTACAACTCGATGTGTATTCTACTATCACCGAGTAGAATACCACCCGACATGCTCAACAGAAAAGGATAGACAATCACACAACGACAACACATGCCATCGTGACATCACCCGTCACAAATTCAATAATCTATCCTTATGCCCGATTCCAACCTTATGGTTACCCCCAACCTTATAACTAGTTCCAACCATTACCTCCAGGACCCCTGTACATCCAAGTCCAACCTTGTGCCTCCGGGAACCGTCGTTCCCCACCTATAACCACCAACAATTTCCACCAACACATAGTACACGAGGGTACCATTCAATACACGGCCGAAGCCACCCAAAACACGTGAGCCTGAAACACAGGTCACAGCTCCATATTCACATCATGGCCACCACGAGGACCACTACCGTACCTTGGTGACTAATGTCCCATTCCATTAATCGTGCAATCCAGGTATAACCAATACACACATCATCATCATAGTAATTAATCAATGGATCACAACAAAGATATGAAACCATACTCAACAAGAGAGGATCACAATCCGAAAACAACGATGATCGACACAAGTCATCACCCACAAAAGGAAAGAACAAACCACACACGCTAGCAATTCATCACCGAACTAGCATGCTTATCAAACGGGTAAACCAAACATAGTTCCGAAGAACATACAAGACTCATCATGGTTCAACGAATCACAAGGTTGAACACTTAGCACGATTCAAGACACCAATTCCTAAATGGATTCCTACCATATATTTCTAGACATACGAAACATCAAGAAGACACTCAGATAGCCCAACAAAAGAAAATCGGGGGGGTCAAAACATCAATTACCGAGTCAAAAGAATCATGGGGAACAAATCCTCAAACAACACCATAAGTGTACCCCGCGGGTGAGGCCACGGGTGGACCCCCACCCGTGGTTCCGCCCGCGGGTACGAAGCCAAATATCACCTGTACCCCGTGGGTGGGGCGGCAGGTGGACCTCTACCCGCCGTTCCGCCCGCGGGTACGTACCCTGTTCCAAAATAATCCCTTCGGGGATTTTCAACACCAAGTCCAAATTCAAGTCTAAAACACCCAAAATCTCACAAAATACAACAATATGACTTGAATCAAAGGAATAGCCAAGCAATGGCATACAAGAACCCTAATAACAAGCTCTAGATATGCATTCTCACAAGACAATGCATCAAAACTCACATTTCATAACAAAAATCACATGTAGATGTCAAGAAATCATCATATAGGTAAGAAAATAGATTTTGTAAAGCATAGGTTACCTCTTGTAGCCTAAACCTTCACTTATCACACCTTTACAAGCTTCTAACAAGGCTTTCCTTCAACTCCAGCTTCAAGAACACACCAAAAGACAACAAAGGTTTCATCTTTAGAAAAAGACACCTTAAAAGGCACTAAAAACACTAAAGGACCAAAGATCTTACCCTCCTATATGCTCAAGATTAAGAAAGGTGGAATCTTGGAGATCAACTTGAAAGATCTTGGAATGCCCAAACTTGGCTTGAAGAAGAAGCTAGCTAATTTCTAGAGAGAAGGAGGAGCTTTTCTTTTTAGGGTGTTATGGAAAAGGATGAAAGATGACTCTAGGTTAGCTTGGAATACAATCATGAGGTGAAAGGTCTTCTTTACCCTTACTAAGATGGAAAAGTGTAAGGAGACAAGAGAACTATTCATGAAGCATAGGGTACAACCCATTGACTTGGAATGACTAGTCAATTACTAGTCCTCCGACTATTGAATTTTCAGGATTTTAGGAATAAATTATCAATTAAGCTAGGATTAATTATCTAATTAACCCTTAAATAAAATTTAGATTTACGGGGTGTCACAAACGTGAGCCCAAGAATACTTTCAAAAACAATAAGCATGTGGTATATCATTCTTTGATGCATTGAGAAGTAGTAGAATTGTTGCATGCATGAGATTGATGCATGAGAGATAGAGAAAATTTCAATTTTGGTCCATTGACTATTAGTGGTGTGTTAATTGCAGCACTTGACTATTAAAACTGTTAATGTAGTACCTTGACTATGCAATTTCTATCAATTCTGGTCACGCCAGCCAAATTAATGGCGAATTTCCACCGGAAAAATTTTAGTCAAACATTTCTCCGATTTGGCAGGGGCAAATAAGACATTTCACGTTGCTAATATGGTTGGTCTGTCCGGGTTGTTGACCATGAAGCTACCCGACCCGGATTAATTGGAATATACCCGGTTAATTTCTCATTTCCCTCCGAGACCCAACCTGTAAAACCTAATTGAATCGAAGAAGCAAGGAAGCACCAGTGAAGAGGACGTTGAGTTGAGAGAAACCTCCAGTGAAGAGTTCAGACTCCATCGACGAAGGAAGAAACTCTCGTGCTGCATACCAGGAATTATTTCAGGAAGAAGGACGCGCTGCATACGAGGAACTTTAATGGCTGTCAGTGGTAAGTATTTCATTTTACTTTACTTAAGTTGTGTGAATTTGATAGGGGGTGTGAGGGTGCTTTAAATATGCTCAGAAACCTATATGTGGGGACCAATTTTGAGATTGGAGTTGATTGTTCAGTTCAGTGTTTTCAGCAGTTGTTATTGTGCTTTAAATATTCTCACAAACTTACAAGTGGGGACCAGATTTAGCTTAAAGTTGGGTGTTCATTTGAGTGCTGAGTGGGTGTTGTGGCATCTGTTGATATATTATTATTTGTGGGGACCAAAATGTTTATGCCTTTGTTGTGTTCTGTGTATATGCTAAGGAATGTGGGACCACTATGTCTTTGTTTGGAAAATAATTTAGGAGTACTTATATGCTGTTTATGTAGTTATTTTATTGCTTATATGCTGTACATGTACTTATATGCTTTACAGGAGATGATCTTGGCCCTTTTGATGTATTTATCTTCCATAATGGTGTAATTAATTGGCAAGGTGAAACTAAATACATGGGGGGTGATGTAGAAATCTATGAGAAGGTGCAAGCTAAGGATCTGTGTATACAATTTTTTAAGGATAAGATTGAAGATCTAGGGTATTCTTCAATAGGAGCATACAGTTATCATGGTGGCCATGGTATTTGTAAGTTACTACAAAATGATATAGATGTAGAAAACTGTCTAAGAGAAGCAGAGAATGAAGGAAAAATGTTGGAGATTTGGGTAGAAACTATGGATGAAAATGATTTTTTTCCAGCTGAAGTTGAGTTTGAGGTTGAGGGTGAATTGGAAAGTGAGTTAGAGGTTGAGGTTGACTGTTTGAATAATGAGGCTGATTTATCCATGAATGAGGCAGAGTTATCCATGAGTGAGGCTGAGTTATCCATGAGTGAGCCACAGTTAACCATGAATGAACTAGAGGTGAATATGAATGAAGCACAGTTAACCAGGATTGATCCAGAGTTAACAAAAGAAGAAGAAGAACACTGTCAAATTGTGTCATATGATTGGGATGATATTCAGTTTTCAGATGATGCATCTGTAGTTGAATCTGACAGTGATGGGGAAAGTAAATAGCCTGTGTTCAGAGAAGCTACTGACATGAGTGATCCAGAGTTTAAATTAGGCATGACATTTGCTTCTAAGAATCAATTTAGGGAAGCAGTGCAGAATTATGGTTTCAAAAATGGGAAAGATATTAGAACTGTTAGAAATGATGCTTTGAGGGTTATAGTTGAGTGTTCACAGGATGGTTGTCCTTGGAGAATAGGACTGAGGAAAGTGCTTCACTCACATGCTTGGAGGATTTTGTACATGGTTGATGTGCATGAAGGTTGTTCTTGGGTTTGGGAGAACAAAATGGTAAAAGCTGCTGTGGTTGCAAAGAGGTGGGCCAAACAACTGAATAACAACCCCGAATGGATGATGAAAAAATTCAGGGATACAGTTACAAGTGAAGAGGGGTTTTATTTAAGTGATCAACAAGCCTACAGGGCAATGTGGAAAGCCAAGAAACAGAGAATTGGTGATGCTGAAGACAACTTCAAGAAGATATGGAGCTACTGTGCTGAAATGGATAGGACAAACCCTAGGACTAGGTATAAAGTGAAGCTGAGTGACTTGCAAGATGGGATTACTGGCCGGGAAAGGTTCTTAAGGATGTACATTTGCTGGGATGCTTCCAAACAAGGATTCAGACATTGTAGACCTCTAATAGGTGTGGATGGGTGTCATTTGAGAAGTGGATCTGGTGGGATGCTCCTGACTGCAGTGGGTGTTGATGCTAATGACAGTATTTTCCCACTTGCGTATGCTATTGTTGAAGGGGAAAGGAGGGAGTCTTGGTCTTGGTTTCTAAACTTCCTAGCTGAAGACTTGGGGATAACAAAGGATAGAGAACAGGATTTTACCTTTATAAGTGATAAGCAGAAAGGATTGCTGCCAGCATTTGAAGAAATTATACCTGGTGTGGAGCACAGGTTTTGTGTGAGGCATCTGCACTCAAACATGAAAGTTGCAGGTTTCCAAGGGAAGGCATTGAAGGATGCTCTGTGGGAATGTGCTAGGGCAACAACTAGGAATTCTTATACAATTGCACTAAGGAAGCTTTGGGTCTTAGATGACGCAGCTTATCAGTGGTTGGGTGACAAGTCTCCCACAGAGTGGACTAGGTCTCACTTCTCAACACACACTCACTGTGATATGTTGGTAAACAACATATGTGAGTCATTCAATGCAGCATTACTTGGTGCTAGGGACCAACCAATCATAGACTGCCTAGAGAGTATAAGGAAAATGTTAATGGCCAAGTTTTTTGAGAACAGACAAAAAGCATCTGAATGGAAGTCAATGATTTGTCCATCAATTGTGGGGAAATTGAAGAAGATAGAGAAGCAGGCTTCAGGGTGTTTGGCCACTCAAAGTGACTTCTTCAAATTTGAGGTGCAACAGTTATATGGGCCCCAACATCAGGTGGATCTGGAAAGGAAAACTTGCTCATGTAGGGTTTGGGATTTGACTGGGATTCCTTGCAAGCATGCAATCTGCTGTATTTGGAAGAAATATGGCCAAGGAGCACACTATAATTATGTCCATCCCTGTTATTCCAAGGAAACTTATCTTAACATTTATAGTTGCTCCATTAACCCCATGGCAGGGCCTGAAGAATGGCCACTGGTCAGCATAGAACCCCCACTGCCACCTATCTATTCTGCAAGGGTTGGAAGACCAAAAAAACTTAGATTGAGATCTGGTGGAGAGGTGGAGACAAAGCTGAGTGAAGATGGCTTCAAAGTCTCTAGAAAGCATATCTTACTGCATTGCACAGTTTGCAAGAAACCTGGCAACAATGCAAGAAAATGTCCTTCAAATCCAAACCCTAAAGAAAAGGTTTTATTCACTGTGTTATTCATTTACTTGGAAGTTTATTGTTCTGAAACCATATGTTACTAACACTGTGTTTTTGTTTTACTTGAAGCCAAAAAAAAAAGTCATTTATTCCACCAAGCAAATCCCCATCAAGAATAAAGGAAAGGTGCCAAGGCAGCAAGTAGGTACTGATCAAGGACCAAGCCAGCAGCAAGGAGATGGTAGTGATCAAGCACCTAGGCAACAGCAAGGAGAAGCTAGTGATCAAGCACCTAGCCAGCAGCAAGGACAAGCTAGTGATCAAGCACCTAGCCAGCAGCAAGGACAAGCTAGTAATCAAGCACCTAGCCAGCAGCAAGGAGAAGCTACTGAATCAGTTCCAATTAAGAAGGAGGTCTGTTCTGAACAAGGAGGCAACACCAAGGCCTCAAAGAAAAGGCAGTCCAATCGGAAGAAGCCCTACTATACAAGGAGTAAGACAACATTCAAGTCCAAATTCCATGGAAACAATGATGACCCTATCAACATTGAGTGAATTAACTTTAGCATATGTTTTTGGTTTTGGTAGACTGCTTCAGTAGTGGTTTTTTTGTATACTCAATGCACATATGCTATGTTGTTTTCTTTTTTTGCTCTTTGGGAATGGCTGCTAATGCTAAGTTTTTGTCTCTTTGGGAATGTCTTATGAAATGAATACTGAATTGCAAAGTTTCATTACCAAATACAAATGCAATTACTTAATGACCATTTGATTATCACATGTCCAATTAAGTACCAAATGACCAAATGACCATTTCATTACCAAAAGACCAATTCATTACCAAAAGACCAATTCATTACCAAATGACCAATTCAGTACCAAAAGACCAATTCATACCATTACAACTCAAAAACCACTGCACACAACTACAATTCGTAGGCAATTACTGCCACAATACTTGGTACCAATATAACATACAAAAATTAAAAGCATTATTCCTACAATCTTCTTCAACCCATTTCCAGGCTCTTTCTTGTCACCTTCAATCTTTTTCATTTCTAGAGTTCTTACATCTTCCTCTAGTCTATTTATGCGTTTAAGCAATCCCGGAATAATTCGCTTGGAACGGTAACACATTGGAGGGTCATACCACTCCACAAATCCGCATCCAACGTGACTGTGACTCTGATTATACAAAATTCACAAACCAACAGAAAACAAAATCAAATTGTGTATACAGGAACACTGAAAAAAAAAACCATAATTTACTTACACCACCACCGGAGCAATGCCAAAATCTTCTACCTGGATTGTCATTAGTCCATGAAGTTCGAATCTTGAGTTGGTGACCACATCTACAATGGAGAATTGGGAACCTTTCCCCAAATTCATTGTACTCATTACCAGTAGAAGAAGAAGAAGAATAACTCACACTACTCATACCCCCGTACGGAGAAACCCAGACCTGACACCTCCTTCTTCGTTGAACCAATTTAGGGCTTCCTCTTCGTTGAAACGCACTCTTGATTCGTCTGTGAAGGAAGAGACTAAACGCAGAAGAATGTTAGGGCAACTAGAAATAAAGCGGTTATATTCCAATTAATTCGGGTCGGGTAGCTTCATGGTCAACAACCCGGACAGACCAACCATATTAGCAACGTGAAATGTCTTATTTGCCCCTGCCAAATCAGAGAAATGTTTGACTAACATTTTTCCGGTGGAAATTCGTCATTAATTTGGCCGGCGTGACCAAAATTGATAGAAATTGCATAGTCAAGGTACTACATTAACAGTTTTAATAGTCAAGTGCTGTAATTAACACACCACTAATAGTCAATGGACCAAAATTGAAATTTTCTCATGAGAGATATATTTATGTATTATCTATATCGGTGAGGTTTTGGGAGGATACCGATTAGACTATGTCCTCTCGGGAGATATTTATGGACATTGCGGTCCTAGTATATGTAACGCGGCGTATTCCCATGTTACGAGGTTGGAAACTTCCCGCCAGGCTTGGAATCCTGGTTAGGGGGTGTGCAGACTAATAGTTCGATACCTGATTCCACAGAGTTGAACCACGAGATTGGTTGTAACACCCCAGATTTTCAAGACATTTAAAACTTTATAAAATAAAGGTATTATCTCATTAAATCCCAAATCATAATACAAGTGTATGGGGTGCTATGCCACACCTGAGCTAGAGAACCCAGGTGCACAGGCTAACTAACTAATATCCTCAATAATGTAACTGCATAATATGGCACGCAGGCCGAAAAGGGAACTATCTACTTCTACGTTCCGAGTTCTAGCGCGCTCCAGTGACTTATTCTTCTGTGCCTGAAAGCCAAATATATCTGTTCAGCGAGAGATGCTGGTAACCCACTCCAACGCGTTGAAATACAATACATATAGAGATATATATAGATATACGAAAACCATTATGAGCATGAAGATATATCCTACGAACTCTAGCTTTGAAAAACCGGGAATGACTCGACAGACAAGGCCAGACACGAGCAACAGTTATAACAAACATATGCGGTTCATAACAGATAAGGCAGATGAGGAAAAGCATAACGATAATCACAACCCAACATAAACAGTCCCCAACATAAATCCCACAGTCACATTCCCCCAAGACACTCATAATCACAATTCGTCCATATCACACACATAGCGCACATTGTTGGCGCCACGGGACCGATCGCATGCCCATACATGAGGGTCAGCGCATATAGCTCTGACACAGCCCCGCAGCACCATGCCCCGTATCGCAACACGGGGAGGTCGATCGCAACCGACCGATGAACCGCAGCTCATCATAATGTTTGATCGCAACCAAGCAGTGGACCGCAGCCCAAGAGAGTGTCATCTGACCGCAGCCAGGATAAAGGACGAACCGCAGCTCGTATAGAAACGTTTGATCGCAACCAAACGGTGGACCGCAGCCCAAGAGAATGTCATCTGACCGCAACCAGGAATACCAATCTGACCGCAGCCAGCTTCTGAACCGCAGCTCAGGATAACCAATCCGATCGCAACCGAATTGGGGTAGCACACACACATAACACATAGCAAGCACATGCAACCCACGTTACACATCGGGAAGGGGGATAAAGCGTATAGCAAACCTATACGTGATCCATCACACACTAGGAATAGTCCTAAGGGGTTCATACTTCATTCACCTAGGTCAACGGGATACCAATTCATCTAGCATGCGATATAACAGACTCATAAACCTACGAACGGTACCCGAAACATCAAACTAGACATAGGCACGACAAACGGGGTCCGTTGGGACACCACGGGGATCGGGGAAATATCAAACGGGGAAACCGGGAGCCCGAGGTAGTGTAATTTCCAGCGGGTAGCCGGTGGGTGGGGGTCCACCCGCCGGCTGCCACTGTTCCGGGCAGCGGGTGCCCGGCGGGCAGTTGCCCGCCCGCCGGCTGCCCGTTGCCGGAGCTGCCCGAGAATGCCGCGGGTAGGTGGCGGGTCCCCTACCCCCACCTACCCCCCCCCCCCCCCCCACTGACTCTTTTCATCACTTTTCGCCCCGGGAACCGTTGTGGAACCCGAAACCATGCTTAGACACTTTACAACGCAATTAACAACAACAAGTAGACAATTAACGGATCAAATACGGGAAACGAACGGCACATGGCCTATCCTGCTTTTCTAAACATAATCAACACCCAAACATGCGATTTCCCACCCGATAATCCAAGAGTCAAAGCATACGGTACAACCTAGGGTTCTAATCACTTTTATATCAACAAGAATACGATTCGTCTTCTAATTGCAAGATTTGGTAGGAACAACACGTAATCATCAAGGATACTAATTAATCATCAAGAACAACACATAATCATCAAGAATCCCAATTAATCATCAAGAACATCACAATTATCAAGAAACTCCCAATATCAAGATTATCAAGATTCCCCATGGAATCATTAAATCAACATCAATAATAATCATAGTAATTCGCCATTCACAATCATACGGGGGAAACCCTAAGGGGAAATCATAGCTATAAAAATAGGTTTTGTTGAGACATGGGTTACCTCTTAGCCTTAATTAATTCCTTGGCTATGAAGGATCTTTCTTTAAGCTTTCTTGCTTTCTTCTAAGGGAATTCTTGGAGCTCTCCTGGGGTGGTGGGGCGTCTAGGCGTGTGGGGGTTCTAGGTGCTCCCTAAGTTCCCTATTTATAGATCCAAGGGTTTATTTAGAGTTTAATCCTATTGGGGTTAGGGGTTGGGTTTATATATTTGGGCCCATGGGCTATGGTGGCCTTTTTCCCTAATTAATCATTATAATTTATTCTTTCTCCTGGGTTATTAATTAATTAATTAATCAGTTGGTTTTAGGATTCGTAACACGGGGTGTTACACTCTCC